TTTTCTGGGCGGTCGGTATTCGGAGATTTATTGCACTGTAAAATGCTCAGACGTGACGAATGCGTGGACCGTTTGGACCGTTCTATATTTCCATTACACAAGGAGTCAGTTGTTGTGCCAGGTTATGCTGGTACCGTCACTTTTCAAATCTATATATTATGATTAAGTTAAAGCAACGGATGCGGTACCGGAAAAATTTTTAAAAACACATTTACTGGATAGTTATCCATTTTGTTAATATTAACCCCACATATGACAATGGAACAACCCTGTGGATGGTAATTGGTGGATCAACAACACAGCGCGACGATTTGACCTCAGCTAGTTCCACATGGTTTTACATTATTTTATTTTTATCACTTAAGATAATTTTTTTTCACAAGTATTTGGGAACGTGTGGCCCTACTGAGTATTCGGTACGATAACACGTCAGGTAGGGCAAAACATCACTCATATGATATTTTCCTGACGCAAACGCACCTAGAAATTTTATTTTTAATTATTATTATAATTATTATTATTGTGATTGAAGATTTAAAAAATGGGGAATGGCCAAAACCACCCGAGTACAATAGTTTTATATCAAACTGTCATTTTTATTGGCGCCTACTAATTGTTTCAGGCTTCTGTTTGTTTTGTTTTTATTCTAAGCAACGGATTTCTTTTCATTATTGATTACTGTTTGTAGCGATTACAAAAAGACTGTAAAATGACCTTTTGTTTGATATTTATTGTCTCTTGACCAAATAGATTAAACGAAATTATAATCACCATATAATCCCCATTATCATAATCACAATTATTATACCACTGTCATATTTATATTTATAGCTATTGTGGTGTGTATGAATTGTGTGTGCTCAGAAAAAAAAAATCATGTATATATAGGCCTTGACAGTAAATTGAATCTTGGATCATAGTGAATCATCATAATAATAATCAATCATCATACTCATCATAATAATCATATTCATAATAGCCTAGCTATTTAATCATTATAATCATGATTATTATCATAATCATCCATTATTATAAAATTTTTCTTTTAAATAAGGGCCTACACTAATTTTTATGTGCCAAGTTAATACTATTTATGATACTTCAAAATGAGCAAGTTTTTTTTTTTTTTTTTTTTTTGGTATTTTCATGGGACAATACATCTTTACAGACAAGTTGAATATGACTAAACCCAAGCTTTCGAGCACACATTGACCTTCTTCAGATAAAATTTGTGATGGTTTTTGGCAATGTTTGCCTTCCATATTGCATTGCCACCATTTTGGGTGCGTATTTGTTGGAACACGGTGGTGGTAGGTGGCTCATTGGTTGACCTTATTTATGATTTTTGTCTGCACATTTCTGTACAATTTAAAAAAAAATAGTTTGAGTAAGTTCATATTTAGTTTTTGTTTAGCTATGGGCCTAGTTTTACTAGGGCCAAGGCTATATTTAGTCATATAATTGGAGAAGGCTTTGAATGATTTACCTTGCCAAGGCTCACAGAATGAGACGGAGGGAGTTGTTTGTGACGAGAGAAATGCGGCTCTCCTCTTAAAATTCAGCTCGGGTAAGGACCTAGGCTGTTGAACCTTTGTCCTTTTATTATCAACCAGCAAGTTTCGTCTTTAAGAACTCTCAGGAGCTTAAAATGGATAAAAATATAAACAATAATAAATTAACAAGAAATATGTGTTACCCGGGCCTAGCTAGGCCTAGGCACATTAACAGAAAAACGGCCACTTTTTAAGTAAAGTCTTGCTATGCTAGCCTANNNNCAGGTGCGTACCTTTGGTCCAAATGCCCATTGGTCCGAAGGGTCTTTGGTTCGAAGGCCCGTTAGTCCGAAGGGTCTTTGGCCGCGCCAAGGACCAACATGTACCGAACCTGTAAGAGGTTCTGATCATGAAATCTTATGATACAATTTGATGCAATATCAATGAAGCAGTTATAACAAAAATGAATGTCATTTATTTTCTGTTGGCCTGGATGACTTTGCTGATCGTTGACCTAGCTTCTTCGGTAAGTCTCCTGGATAAAAAAAAAACTCTATTTGGAGTCAGGGAGGAGACATTATGGCTTAAGATGTTGAACAGCAAATTAATATTTTTATTATTAACAACATACTGTAAGTTACATCTGATGAGTATTCGTGTCCTTGTTTCTCTTCTAATTGATTGCTAGGTGTGGGAAATGTAAGCAATACACTACCTTAACATTAACATAATACATTAGTTAATTTCACATTTACACATACATACATTTCACCAGGTAATTAACACCACAATACACAGAAGTGCTAAGGATATAAATTTCCATACACACCTCAGTCTCAACCAGTGGTGAGGCTGATTGCAGTGGTGTATCTGAATACTTGAAAAGGGGGAAGGTAGCGGCTGATGTGGATTTTAAGGTGCCGTTGGGGTTGATGATTAGGTAAGGGCGCTAGTTTGTAAAATAAAGTGATATGAAGTGATTTTTAACTATTAAAGCATGATATTTTTTGCTTCAACTATCATTCTCAATGGCAGAGCTACTGGGGTGGGGGCGCAATTTTTTTTTTTTTTTTTTAGATACGCTGCTGGTTGATTGATGTCTTTCTTGGTACTGTTTACTTGTTTTATCCAATCATTTATGTTATGTTTTATTTGCAATAAATACGAATTGAAATTTGGGTATGGACACTCAGGCCAGCAACACCACCTAAAGGCAGCTGCTGAACATTTACAAATCAGTTTACATTCATAGTTACACTACTTGCACCATATTACATTTCACCAGGTGAAAGACTTTTTTATATAACTTGTTTAGCGCACCCGCCAATAATGACGATTTCAAAACAAAAATAAATTTTATTTTTGGCCAATTAGCGCACCCGCTGCCAAAAAAATAGAAATTTCAGAAAAAAATTAAAGTTTTTCTTTATTTTTATAACACCTGCCGCTGTCTTAAAATCTCCAAATATAAGTTATGTATATTTCATTCTATTTATATAAATTTAAAGCTATACAAAGAGCAGCTAAGCTCAGTCTGCTAAACTGGTTGCAGCTATTGTGTGTGCACTGAACCATGGAGATCTAGGTCCCCAGTTCAATTTGCATTGCTGCTGTCCTTGTGTTTCAGCTGGAGGGCTAAAATGCAAGTTACGATAGCGCACTATCTTTCGGGTTAGACATTTAAGCTGTTGGTCCTGTGTGTATTATGCAGTACACTACTGTATTCGGAAAAGAGTAGGGGATTGTCTCCTTTTGTACTGCCCAATCACCATTGGCCCCCACTGGAAATAAGTCTTCTTCAGACTTTAATGGGTTATCCGTGGTGTTTACACTGAATAAATCCATCCATCCATACACGTTTATAATTCACCAATAATTTTTTTTTTTTTTTTTTTTTTTGTATTTTCTCCTGGATGTTTTTGGTAACTATTTGCTATATAAAGGAAACAAAATTTTATCTTCATTTTTTCCGCCATCTGATAATCTTTAAAAAAAATAAGTTTGCAAAACAAGGCATTAAAAACATGTTGCCTAATATATGTATGTTCATACATCATCAACATAGTATAATTCAACAGTTGTATACATAATATCCCACCACTACCCTGACCAGGTTTTGTATGCACCTTGAGGTCCAGAGAATTTGACTCTAGTAATTGGTACAGAGTGGTCAAAGAATCATTAGGGAGCCTTTGATTGCACGGCGATGGTAGTTCGTAGAACGTAATGACGTCACATAAAGTCATCTGCGCACGTGAGAATGTTGAGTTCTCAAGGTCGCGTGGATTCTAGGATGTAATTTGGACAAATCAATGTTGTGCATGAGTGAATACATTCTATTGTCTAGTCCCTATTTTTTGGACTTGGTAACACATTTTCAATATTTGGTCAAAGGTCATAGCCATTTGGTCCTTATATCTCTGCAACCACAGGTGGTAGAGAGTTACTTTTGTTGCCAATTTTTTCAAAACATTTATGTTTCTGTTTGCTCTTACAAAATATTGCTAAAAATGCCATTTAAGACATTTGACATGTTACAAGGTCCTAGGCATACCTTTGATACATTTCAAGGAATATCCACAGAATACCTATTTCTGTAAATTTTGGCTGTACTGAGCAGTGGTGGCACCAGAGGGGGGCTGGGGGGCTATAACGTGAGATTTGATTCGCTCCACTAGCCCAGCCCCCCACCCCAAGGCATTTAGCCCCTTCGTTGGCAGGTGCTGGCACCATCACTGTACTGAAGTCAAATTCTCTGAACCTCAAAGTGCATACAAAACCTGGTCTGGCTAAATGTTCCCAATTACTGTACATTACCTGATGTTATTGCGGCCAACTACCATTGTTGTTGCTGCGAAGCAGCCAATTCATATTCTTGACAGCAATTTGACCTCTGAAGGGTCATTGTTTTTTCAAAAGACAAGGGCCTAAGACGACTGAAAAGCGGAGTTTCCTTCTTTCGTTCTGCCGGGTAAAATCAATTACTTTAGGCGACATTTGTAGACTAACCTACACGTACTAACGTCCGCATGTGGCGACGCTCGAGTATTACTATTCAGCATTTTTACTATATTTCTAGGTTTCCTATTTCTACGTTTAATCGGCCCATGTCTCAGCCACAATATTTTGAGGCCAATATTATTTACGAACCCAGTTAAACTTATTTACTAGCCTATTTCAGCGTGCTCATTATTAAATTTAGGCGACGCTTGTTGTAGACTGGCATACATGGTACCAACGCTCCTTTTTACTATGTTTCTACGTCAGTGTTCTAATTATAGACAATGGGTCGTGTCTTATATTATTTGTTATATTTTTATTATTCATTATTTTCACTTGACTCGCATAAATAATTTTGTTCGAAGAACATTTATATGCAGTTGTACTTCGCAGCACTTCACTTGCAATTTGCAATGTCTATATTGTGCTATATCATCTTGTGCCTCATTTGATGATTTAAATCTAAACTTACTCCAAAATTTGTTTTTATTTCTCTCTATTTTCTAGATGGCAGCACACAGTCTATCATCAATTCAATCCTCAGTAGTGTCTGAACCCCCATCATCTATTGGAAAAAAACAAGGCTATGATGTAACATTCAAGAAACGTCCGATAGCAGAGTTTTTCTGTGGATTGTGTCAGTTTGCGTTGAGGTGGCCTTTGCAAGCAACATGTGGCTGCAGGTTTTGCAAAGGTTGCATTCATCGTTATGCAGAGTAAGTCTGAGATGGAGACTTTTCTACTTAAAATGCTTTTTGCAAACATTTTAGGAATTTTACATAGAAAACTTTACTTGTTTTTGATCAAACAGAAATGGTTACCAAACAAACTCATGACGCAAAATTGATATTTATTATAAACAGTTCATATATTTCCTTCCCCTGCGACAGAAGTTGGTATAAATATAACAGATAAACAGGTTAATGTTTGATCTTTTTGTATGATCTTAAAAAATAATAAATAAGAAACAAATGTACATGTTTGTGTTATGACAGGGTTTGATTAGTGATCAATATTACCTTAGTATTTTTTAGGTTGATATACACCCTCAATCCTCCTGACATTTTCTTGGTTGTTTCATATTGTCATAGGTTGGAATAATACTTTTCCTTTTTCATCTCGGTTCCTAATTTTTTTTTCTGATTCTTTCAAACAGCCTTACAGAATGCAGGCCCGTTGCCAGTGGGGTTTTTCTGGGTGTGAGGTCCACGGTCGAAGTCCCAGTGGGGGTCAGTGAAACCCCCAAAGCAAGAGGATTTTTCTGCTTTATGGGTCAAAATAATGATATAAAAGCAGATATGTTTGAAAACGTCTGTGTCTGTGTGATTCTGTAGTGCATTAGTTGGGTCGGAGGACTTATTTTGAAAATTTTAAGAGGGGGGGGGGGTTCGCCAGAAAAGAGGGGGGTTTGCTAGAAAAGGGAGGTTCTCCCGAACCATAACCCCCCCCCCAGGATACGATCCTGGAATGGTCCTCAAAAAACAGCCTTACAAAGTGATCCCCACAAACAGCCTTTATAAATTGATCATGACAAACAACCTTATAGAATGATTTTCACAAACAGCCTTACAAAATGATCATCAAAAACAACTTTTGAGAATGATTCTCAAAAATCGCTTTACAAAAATGTTCCTCAGAAACAACCTTACAAAAATGATCCTCAAAAACAGCCTTACAAAATTTCCTCAAAAAGAGTGTTACAATATGATCCCCAAAAACAGCTTTACAAATGATCCGCACAAACAGTCTTGCAAAATGAATCTCAAAAACAGCCTTACAAAAATGATCCTTAAAAACAGCCTTACAAAATGATCCTCGCAAAAAGCCTTACAAAATGACCCACAAAAACAAACTTACAAGAATAATCCCCAAAAACAAACTTACAAAATGTTCCTCCAAAACAGCCTTAAAAAATGATCCTCAAAAATAGCCATACAAAAATGAATCTCCAGAACAGCCTTACAAAAATGATCCTTAAATATAGTCTTACAAAATGATCATAACAAACAGCCTTACAAAATGATCCTCAAAAGAACCTTACAAATGATCTTGACAAACAGCCTTACAGAATAATCCTGAAAAACAGCCTTACAAAATGATCCTCACATACATCATTACAAAATGATCCTCAAAAGCAGCCTTACAGATGATCTTTACAGACAGCCTTACAAAATGATCCTTAAAAACAGACTTACAAAATGATGCTCAAAAACAGCCTTACAAAATTTCCTCAAAAAGAGTGTTACAATATGATCCCCAAAAACAGCTTTACAAATGATCCGCACAAACAGTCTTGCAAAATGAATCTCGAAAACAGCCTTACAAAAATGATCCTTAAAAACAGCCTTACAAAATGATCCTCGCAAAAAGCCTTACAAAATGACCCACAAAGACAAACTTACAAGAATGATCCCCAAAAACAAACTTACAAAATGTTCCTCCAAAACAGCCTTAAAAAATGATCCTCAAAAATAGCCATACAAAAATGAATCTCCAGAACAGCCTTACAAAAATGATCCTTAAAAGCAACCTTACCAAAATGATCCTCAAAAGAACCTTACAAATGATCTTGACAAATAGCCTTACAGAATAATCCTGAAAAACAGCCTTACAAAATGATCCTCACATACATCATTACAAAATGATCCTCAAAAGCAGCCTTACAAATGATCTTTACAGACAGCCTTACAAAATGATCCTTAAAAACAGACTTACAAAATTATGCTCAAAAACAGCC